AGAATCGGGCGCCATCCCAAGGGTGGGCCCAACTTCTTGACTGTTTGCGGTCGCCCAGTTTCGATGCAGGCGGGAGGACAGTGATGACAATGAGGATTGCCGCGACGAGGGGTCAAGACGTTCAAAAGACTGAGCTTCTGAATGGCTAGGCGATGAGCTTCGAGCAATGGGAGACATGTCTTTTAGGGCGTCAGGTTGATTGACTTGACCGGAAGCACATGTAGTGCTGATTGCCAGGCTTGGGACGCCATGGGCATCGTCGTCTCCACCGACGAGTCTATCAATTGACCTCGCGCGGCTATGTTCTTTTGGGGGCTTCAACTTGTCTCTGCTTCTCATGCTGTTGACAACACGCCGTGGCAGACCGCCGAATAAACCGCCTAACTGTGAGCCACCAGGTGTGTCTAGAGCCGTTGGGGTACCAGGTAGAGCTGGAGGAAAACCTGGAGATGCTGTTCGGCCAGGAACCAGATCCGCTTGACGGATGGTGCTTATGGAAGATATGGCTCGGTCTTGCATCTGCGGTCGCTGATGGCTCTCGAGCATCTGGGCGGGTGATGCAGTACGGGAGTTGGGACTGTCAAAGTACCGTGACCGTTCTCTCGCCTCCGGACTCGCTGTAACACTGTGAGAAAGCGGATGCTCAGCTTCACGCGAGCGTGTCAGAATTTCTAGGATAGCACCAGGTGCTAGACTGCCACGTCGGCCTTCATAGGGCCGGGCGTCTTGGCTGATGGTACTACTCGAAGAGTTTGCGCTGATGTTTGGGGGCGCGTCCTGGTTGGTAGCTGAGCTCTGCGCACGGCGTCTTGAACCTGAACTGCGAGTTGTGAAACCTTTGACAAACTCGGATGTCTTCTTAGCGGCTGAGCGGAGGCGGTCGACGAAACCGATGGGGACAACAGCCTCTTCGACATCCTCTTTGGAAATCTGAATCCTTCTTCCATCATAGGATTTGCTGGGGTCTGTCTCTTCTGCCCACGAGACGTGGTTGGGAATACCGGATAGCAGCCACGGGTGGCGCTTTATCTCTGGTATAGTGATACGACGTCGCGCATCCTTGATCAGCAATCGTCGCAGCAGGTCGCGTAGGTTTTCATCAACCTCTTCGTATTCGAGATCATGTGGTGCTCTCTTGGTGCTCGTCATTGGCTGACTCATGCGTCCGTGTGAGTTGGGCCGCGAGTTCGATTGTTCAGCGACGGGTTTCAGCCGATACCTGGGAATGTAGGGCTCATCTTCGCTGATGACCTTCATCAGCGTGAACGTGTTTGTGTCGTGAAAAGGCACGCGCCCGTAGATGAGACAGTACAGCGTGACGCCCAGGGCCCAGATATCGATTCCGCCGTCGATGAGGGGAGTCTCTGCGTCAATCTCTGTACGGCAGAGTTCGGGGGCGTAGAAGGCCGGGGTTCCCACAGTCTTGGCCAGCTCAATAGCTTCGTCAACTTCCTGGTAGTCCGACTCAGAGTGTTCGCCGTTGCTTTCATCAGTCTTCTGGCGTCCCAAGTACGACACACCAAAGTCAGATATCTTGATGCGATGCTCCCTGGTTACAAGAAGATTGGCAGGTTTGATGTCTCGATGGATGACGTTCTGATAGTGCAGGTATTCTATACCCAAGACAGTGTCCTTGAAGGCTTCCCAAGCTGCATGCATAGTCATCAGAGGGACGTAATTGAAGTGTTCAGGGATCTCTTCGCCAGAGTCGGTCACACGTGACGAGGAGCTGCCAGCAACGCTCGGTACGCGGCCTCGGATGAGCTCCGTGTCGTAAGGGCCGTACATGGTTCCCTCAAGCCCATCGGCCCAAGAGTTGTTTACCGGCTCAGGCGATCGGAAAGCGGTCTCCATGTGGTCTTCGTGGTGGCCTGCGACGTCTGATCGCTCGCGAAACTGGACGCGGCTGTGCGGACGCTCGTCTTCTAGATGGGATGCTTGCGAGCCACGCCCGTTGTCGGAGCCCTCGTCTTCAGAGTCGGTTGCAAACTCTAAGCTCCAGGGTTGGTTGGAGGAGCCGTCTTTCCGACGTAGGTGAGCCTCTCGGGCCATGCGACGTTGCTGGCGGGCAAGCTTCTGGTGGGCGATGCGGATGATCCTTTCGTCTTCTAATGTTGCACTGTCATTGTCGAAGATGCCCTGGGACTCGCGCTTGAAGCGACGCCATTCGACGAGGCAGATCTCCCTGGCACCCTCGGTCCGCCACTTGACCTCGCCCAGCTCGACGTGCTCGAGTACGATATAGACCTTCTTCTTAGCTGGGTCATCTATAACCTCGAGCAAGCTGACGATGTTGGGGTGGCGGGCCTTTTTGAGGATGGCTATCTCGCGCTTGATCTTGTCTTCGTGGCTGTTGTTCTTGCCGAGGCGGCGACGTTTGGAGTAGCGGTCGACGATCTTGATGGCGACGTAGCGGCCGTGCACCAGGTCCTTGCCCAGCTTGACCTTGCCGTGAACGCCTCGGCCAAGCTCGTCGATGATCTCGTACTGGTTCACAATCTTGCGTCCGGAGACGGGGTCGGCCTGGACATCGGCAATGTGGGTCTCCTTGGGCGCCTGGCGGTGGGTATGGTGGAGCCAGGGCGTGGAATAGGTGCCGTCGTCGGGCTGGTCGGGCTCCTGGGAAGGGCGGCGGGTGGTGGGGTTGAAGAGGCCAGGGCTGCTCACCGGTGAGTTGCCAACAGTGCGTGGGGCCGACTCCATAATGTCCCTGTAGTGCTCGTGGGAGAGGCCGAAGGCGCCGAGGCTGGACAGCGAGTTGGCGGCCGAGTGGGAGGGGTGGGAGCTGCGGGAGCGTACGATGGGCGGGACATAGGGCTGGGGGTACTGCTGCAGGTGGAGGGCAGCATAGGACTGGTTGGGGTAGACGGGCCCATCGCGGTGGCGGGGAGGGAGGGCGTAGGGGTGAATGGGGTCGACTGAGTTGGCCCGCACCGTCACGTTGCTGGCCGTCGAAGCGCTCGAGAGGTCTCGCATGAAAGCCGGGCGGTCGGGGGGAGGTGCAGCGGCGGGCGCGGCCTCGTTGACGGTGGAGAGCGAGGCCTGCGAGGCGTGGGCGCTCGTGCTGGGCGAGGGGTTCGACGAGGCGGGCGTGTCGCGGGGGATGGGCGACGAGTAGATTCGGAGCGGTTGTGGAGAGAAGTACGAGGGCTCCGGGTCGAGCGTGTGTATCTGCGATAAGAGGCTGGCGTTGAGGGCCTCTGGCACGGAAGGCACCTCGGAGCGGGGCGTGCAGTCGTTCTCGTCGTCCTGGCCTTGACTCGGCGGCGACGCGCCATGTTGCTGCTGCCCTTCTCTTTCTTCACCAGATGTCTCTGGTGCTTCTGGTGCCTCTGGTGCGTCCGCGGTCGGGGGGCACACAGACGACGCCGGCGACGAGTGCGCCTGGTCGTCCCGCACTTCCCCTTCCGCTGTCAGGCCCGCATTCGGGTCGACCATGGCAACCACAGCTCGGGACGTGTCAGCTCAGCAGAGGCGTGCAACCATGCCAGCCCGTCTACGGTTTGTCGAGGCGCACGTCGTGGGCGGATAGTCTCATGTCGCGCTGGGGTGGGCGGCGGCGGCGGTGTCACAGCGAGGGCAATGGCGTGGGTGCACTGGTGCTGTGAATCGACGTCGGGGTGAATGAAGATGGTGGCAGTGGGCCGTGGTGGGCTCAACGGCTCGATATGGATTTGGTTGAGAGACACGATCGGCTCACTTGCGCTTTTCCCTCTGGGGCAGTGATGGGCGGGATAGTCAAGAGTATTTCGGGCCCCATAGATGACGCTCTGAAGCGGGAGAGACACGCCGGGGCTCGCAGCAAAAGGTGGAGACGCTATGTATCGCGCTGGGCATAGGCGAAGACGCAGATAAAGGCCGTCAGGGCAGACAACGAGGCGCTGCACGGCAAGATAGTAATGGCACCGGCGACCAGAGGCCTACAATGCGCCCGGTGGAGCGATTTCTTGTTGAGCGAGCCACGAGCGATATGGGCAACTTTTTGTCTTGGGGGATCTGCCACTCGACGGCAGCGAGAGTATCACCTACATGGTGCTAGCATGCAGGTGACAAGAACGGGTATGGCTGCATGCACTAGTCCCTCCTGCCCTCAACAACAGGTGGCGTTCAGTGTGGTTCGTTTGCAGCGCCCTCGTCCAAACTGCTCTGCGCAGCGCCATCAGCATGTGCCTGTGTCCTGATCCCAGCGGTGCGCGCGCATGGGTCGCCTCTGCCGCCTCCGGTTGCGTCGGCACCCGTCACTTGGGCCCATGCAGCAGCCATTAGATGAGGAAGCGCGATAAGCACCCTGGAGAAACTCTAAATCCCTCCCTGCAACATCTGCCATCATAGCACATGGCGACTGACGGACCCTCTCTAGCACAAGCCCTTCCCCAGATTTACCCTCGCTGAGCGTCAGGTACTCGCTTTGCTTCTTCGCTCCCGCTTCGATATCGCTCCAGGGCTGCCATGTCCAATCTCACGCTATCGCTGCGTCACTGGCGCGCCCCGTATCGTCATTGTTGGGCCGGCACACACAGCCATCGTGCCACGAGCATCCAAGGGGGGGCAAACTGACGGCTGGCAACAATCCCATCCAGCGTCCTCGCGCCCTGCTGCCTCCCCCTCGCCATGCCACGATGGCGCTCCAGACCGCCTGCAGTCACCGGTAGATTATCAATCGTGACCCATCGTGAGATTGACCGGCCTCATACGTGCACAGTCGCACGGCGGTGCATGCTGCAGAGGGCCAGCGCAGATGAAGCCGAGTCTAGGCGCCGCCCGTCTCCTCAGCAATCATCGTGAAAGTCCTAATCCGGTAAGGCACGCAGCATCAATTTTCTGCACCAGGGCGCGCTTGAGCACAGATGCATGACAAACGTGACTGCCTGTGCAGCGCGCCAAGGAGCTAGACCACCGGCTTCGCATCCTCACCTCTGCTGCGAATCTCATCTCACTCTGCTCGCCAACCATTGCCCCGGCCTCCCGCCTGTGCTCCTTGTTTCTTGCTCTATTACCCAATGCCGACCCGCACCAACGCTGCGAGGGACACGAATCCGAGCGGGACTGGTGCTCCACCACGCGCTCCGTCCAACAGCTATCGTGACTCGACGCTAAACATCTTCGCTCTGCTGCTTGCCTTCCGCATCGTCAACGCACTAACCCTGCGCTCCTTTTTCCAGCCCGACGAGTTCTTCCAGTCCCTCGAACCTGCATGGCAGCTTGCGTTTGGCCCCGCCAGCAATGCCTGGATCACCTGGGTAAATCCACTTCAGAGTGCTCCAGTATCCCCAGTCCGCTCACCGTGGCCAGGAATGGAGATCCCAATTGCGGTCGTCCCTGCATCCAGCGCTATTCGCTGCCGTCTATCGAGTCGCGGCACATGTTGCTGACTTCTGTGGCTTGACCTTGCCTGCTAAAGCCGAACTACTCCTAGCTGCCCCGAAAGTTACCCAAGCCGTCTCTGCAGCCTTGCTTGATTGCTACACATGGAAACTTGCGGAAAAAGTCTACGGTCGTGGCAGTCGCACTGCCCTTACTACTGTACGCGACCATCCTGCAAATTTAACACTGCAATCTCTGATATTTGAGCCCACCTACTTCTAGCTTGCATTGTCTGTCTGCAGCCCGTGGCAGTGGTTCTGCGCGACCCGAACACTATCCAACTGTCTTGAGACTACCATCACTTCTGTCGCTATTTACTATTGGCCTTGGCAGGGTGCAGCAACAGCTAGCAAGGGTCGGACGCATATTGCACACCACGACCTCGGCTCCCTCTCAGAGTAAGTCGTGGAATCAAAACACCCTTTGTCTACTCCGCCACCACTTTAGGCTCATGCTCGTGCAGGTTGCGCCTGTCACTGCTGTTGGCAGCGCTTGCGTGTATTCTCCGGCCCACCAATGCACTCATCTGGCTGTCCGTATCCGTCCCAGCTCTATGGCAAGCCTCACATCGGCTGCGCTATGTGTTGGTCCGTGAGATCCTGATTTGCGGGTAAGCCTTCCCTCTCCTTGCATCCGCTGCACGTTTTTCGTCCCCATAGTGCAAGGCTCCATTGCCGGGCTCTGCGTTCTCTGCAGACTACCGTGCCCCGAGGTCACCAGACCATTATCCGACTGACGATGCTAGCTCCGCCGTCCTGGTATTGTCAGTCGCGACCGATCGGCTCTATTACAGGGTCTGGACTCTTCCGCCGCTTAGATTTCTCTATTTCAACATCGCTCAATCGTTAGCCGTCTTCTACGGGAGGAACCGCGGCGACTACTATTTGACCGAAGGTTTGCCGTTGCTCCTCACGACATCGTTGCCATTTGCCGTTGTTGGCCTGTGGCAGTCGTTGAGGGGCTTAGAGCCACGTAGCCCAGCCAAAGACGACAGCCCGGGTAATACAGCAGCTTCAGGTCAAGATACTGCGGGCAGTCAGATACTAAGCCGTCTGTCGTGGACGGTGATCGTCATGACTGCTACGCTGAGTTTGATATCGCACAAGGAAGTTCGCTTTCTGTACCCAATCCTACCCTTCCTTCATATCATCGCCGCCAGGCCACTCAGCAAGTTTTTACCTCCTCGCGCTGCGCTATCGCACAAGGCAGTCGTCCTGTTCTTGCTTGCTGTAAACATCCTGCTTGCAGGCTATGCCTCTCAAGTTCACCAGCGTGGAGTCATCGATGTACTCGCCTATCTCCGTCATAAACATGAAACGCGCAACAGCCTATTACACATTCATGGCAATAGCGATAGTAACGTCGCTGCTGTGACCAATACAACAGTCGGCTTCCTCATGCCCTGCCACTCTACGCCCTGGCGCTCCCACATCATCTACCCTGAAATCTCCGCATGGGCTTTGACGTGCGAGCCGCCCATCGACATACCGCTCTCGCAGCGCTCAACCTATCTCGACGAGGCGGATGAGTTCTACATCAAACCTGGCCCTGTAGCTTGGCTCCGAGCCAATATGGAAGATGTACAGACGATCAAGGCGAGTGGAAGTAGGTCTGGTCAGCATTGGATGCGCCAGGATCCAAAGTTTAAACGCAAGTACCGGCGTGAGTGGCCGCAAAACCTAATTTTCTTTAAGCAGTTGGAAGGGACGCTGAAGGAGTATCTTGAGGGCACTAGGTACCAGGAGTGTTGGAGGGGTTTCAACAGCCACTTCCATGATGACTCGAGGAGGACTGGTGATGTGGTTGTCTGGTGCTTGGATGGCGTGTGAGGCGCAGACTGCACTCTTTATAACACTGTGACAAAATAACTCTAGTAGTAACATTATCTATGAATGATCTAGATAATGTGACCTCCCATCAGTGCTTCTTTACATACCACGCAAGATGTGATCTCATCTGATCCTCGTCCGCAAAAGCCCAGGTCAACTATCCATGCCGTCCAAGTGTCTTCGACTTAACTCTTCCTCCCCACTGAGCCTAGAACCCACGTCGCGAAGATCCGTGACATCGAAACACGCCCAGTACCAAAACATCGGACAGCAACTATCCCATCGCGAATTTGCGTAAACAGCCCAGAAATATGCCGAAACTCGAAACCTACACCACGATTTGCAAACTCCACACATAACACAGTCAACCATCCCGTCTAGCTTCCAACACAATGACCTCATCGACCCTGCAGATCCAGAACCCATAAACCCCAATTCACAAGCACTGCCCTGGATCCCAGCACACCGGACACCCGTCCCTGTACCTGACGATGATGATAGCTTGCCAAAGATGTACACACATGTAAGTCTAGAACACCATGATAGTCAGGGCAACGACAAAGGGTATCGGTCTGGACCTCAAAATTCGTTTTGGGCATGGAGAAGAAGAAGCAATGTGACGATTAGTGTTGTTGCTAGGCGGGGACCCGAATCGGACCCTGACCCTTGAGCGGAGGGAAGGGAAAAAGGAAGACCACTGGGCATATGCATCGTGTTTTTGGGACCGAGGGGAAGGCGCTGGGGAAAAGCAAGACTTCAAAGGGAAACGAGGTGTATCTCATATCAGGGGAAGCTGAACAGGTCTAGAGCCTACATCAACAAGTGAACATCTAAAGTGGGTGATCTAACGTTTATATAGGCTGCAGACCTATTCAGTTTCCTCCTGGTTGAGGTGAATGGGCGCGCAGGCTTCACGGCAGCAAAAAGTTCGATGAGAAGTCTGGATTCAGTGACTGAAGCTTTCGTATGAAACGCACAGTATGATGCGTATTTGTTTTCTTGCAGTATAACATAGGGAATAGGTTCCTGGTAGACCGATGTTCTTTATCGGCAGTTGCCCCTCTTCCAATAACAACAGAAACCAGTAATGTTCAAAAGCAACAAACCAACCCAATGCACAATGAAAGAAAACACATCCCACTTGGAGACAGAGAAGCCATGTTCTAGGCTCCAATTAAAAATGTTCTGAAATGAACGCCATGATCCCAATGCCCGTTGTTGATGATAGGCTTCTCGAGCCTGGAACGCCGCGCTGAAACCTCAACCGAGCCGGCAGGTGATCCGGCATGCCCAATGCTCCCTTTCGAACGCCTAAGAATGCAATATGACCCAAGAAAAATATCAAGCCAAAGCGACTGCCTTTGCGCTGGTGCTTGAGCTGACTGAAGCTGGGGGTGTGGGTGGTGCAATATCGATCGCAGGCGCAACCCAGCCCTCCTTGCGAGCAATCCACATGACCAAGTTGAGGTCAAAATTCTCGAAAAAGACCTCGTCGAGGAATCGAGCCTTTGCGCCGGCGTAGGTATGGTATTCCTCGCGGACTGTCTCTGGGTCGACACCGAGGATCCTCCGGAAGCAGGCGATGGTGCATCCTGTGCGGTGCTTGCCCTTGTTGCAGTGGACGAGGATCGGGTGGTTGGTACGATCCATGATGAGGCGCAGAGCTCGTGACATTTCGCACGATTCGACGCGCACTTCGCCTTTGTTGGCTTTGACGTGAACGTGGAAGTGCTGTATACCAGCCTCCTTCATGAAGTTTTGATACTCGGGCGAGAGTGGCTCAGGAACCAGGGTGAGGATGGTCTTGATTCCGGCTTCCTTAAGGTATTCGTAGTTCTCCTCTTTAGGATAGCTGCTACGATAGACGCACCCAGGGAGAACTGTGCCGTAGTTTGATGGAGGAGTGAGTGACTGTAGGCGTTCGGGTGCCGAACGGATGGAGACGGCCGGTGTGAGAGTGCCGTAAGACTCGGCTGTGCAGGTGATGGAACACTGGTGACCCTGAGGGTCTACGACAACCTTTAGGTCCTCGTGCGTAGTCTCGCCAGCGTGCTGAATGAGCCCGTCGCTTGCAGAGAGTCCGAGAGAGGCGACGAACTCCCTGATTCTCTCGAATACGCTTTCCTGAGCGTTCTGACCCTGGCTGGCTGACGTCGCGGAGTCTCCGTTTGATGAAGACATGTTGAAGCGCTGCGGAGCTTCGGGTTCGAGTTTGAAGGAGGGTATCAAAGGTATAGGTGAAAGCTCAGCTAGTGTTGTACTCGGACGATTTGTCCTGTATCCTTCACAGCGCGGATTTTTCGATGCGGAGGTGCTTGGTGGTAGGCCTTGTCGAGTGCTCTTGCGTGCGTTGAGGGTATGGAAGTCTGACTTCGGAGGATGCTCGAAGACAAGAGACACGGGGGCAGAAGCCGACGCGGGCAGCCTATATTTTATTAGCCAAATGCTCGTACGTTAGGAGGATAGCTCCGAATTCGCGAACTATGGGTTGTCGCCGCTGTCACCCACGGATCCGGCGGTCGCGTCGAGCGCGCGGCGAATGGAAGGGCATGCTTTGAAAATGCGGCAGTTCACACAGCGTTGGTGACAGTGCAGCTTCCAAGGTTGCACGAAGGAGTGAAACTTACTTCGCTGTTACCGGCTGGTTACAGGACACATCTTGCGAGCGTCTTGCGGTGATGCAAAGAGGCGTTGATGTTCATTGTGAGTGAGTGAGGTAGGTAGGGTGTACTGTGGGCGGAGTGGTGTGCGCAGTAGACGGATATTTGTGTGGTGATGGCTCGGGGCGGTAGCGAAGGATGTCAGCCGTAGTTCGCGGGGAGTGAGAAGTAGTGTGATTATAATGAAGGCTGGTGTTGTGGAAGAAATCGGGCGGGTCGCCCTAGCGCGCCTTTCACTGGTCCGAGCCAGATGCGTCGGAATCAATCCGCTGGCTTGGACCGCCGGTTCCAGGGTCCGCCAAGCGCCGTACGTCACTTGCCGCACCTTCCCAACGGTACTTTGGCTATGCAGGAACGCAGAGCATGTAATTCATCGAAATGATTCTGTGGGCTGCGTGCTAGTTCAGTCTTCTGGTACCAGCAAACAGCGCGCGGACCCCGCACCAGTCTTGTCGTGCCTTGCCAAATGACGGCAAGCACAGAGCAAGCGCCAGTAGCACCTGGGCAGTGGGCAAGCTTCGCTAAATTCGCTTCTGTTCCAAGGCGAACCGCCCCGCTGCATTGCTCCGACCTGGGCGGCGCGTCTCAACACTGTCTCGCGCCCGTGCCTCAGCGACAGGCTTGATACTTTCCAGCGCCGTTGACATCGTCATCGCTCCACTCGCAACCTACGGAGCGGTGGGTCTCTAGTGCTTGGGTGAACCACGACGTGTTCGCCAGAACCGCGCGGAAGAATCGGCACAAAAGAGACGCCAGTAACACAGTAAGCGCATCAAAGCATTACTGTAGACGGCAAATGCCAGTAGGCGAAGCTTATGGGCCGGGTTCCCAGAGCAAACCGACCATCTGAATACAACGATATCATACTTCGCCTTTGCCCAGCTTCTATGCCATCATCAAGGCAATATTCATAGCCGTTCATCCCGAGTTCTCCTGCTGTCCGAGTCTTGTGGCCGCTTCCTCATCATTGCAACCACGTAGCCAGGGCCTGGACGCTCTGTGGAACTTGGCAGAAAGTATCTCGAAATCTCTATGACGACTCCGCGACATTCCGTAGACATCGGTCATGAAAGAGTCAACTGCAGACCGTGGTCGGAGGTCACGGCACGATGTCGTGAAATTTCTCCAAGTCGAATATTTCAAAGTTCCATCTCACCACTTTCACGTGAAGACTCTCGTGATCGGCAGCTAACCATGCAAGGCTAAGTCTCATTTCCCCAGAGTCTGTGCGTCTGACCTGCTGGACCTCGGTCACTCCACTGAATAGAGTAAACATCCTGACGTTTCTCACATCCTCAGCGTAGCCCAGTGGCCCACGTTCTCTAATTGAGCATCATGGAGCCTCCACGCTCAACCTCCCGATCACGTCGCTCCTACCCGAACCTCCACAATCTCTCCATAGCCCCGCTCAGCGCCAAATACCCTCTCGATGCATCCGTACCACCTTCGCCCGACGACCAAGGCACGCGCACCCCTCGGACGTCGTATATCGCGCAAAAGTCGGCACCTACAACGCCAGGTGTTTTAAGCCTGAGCCAAAGCCGCAGCAGCTCGCGGCAGCGCCCGAAGAAAGCATACGCATACGACAGCTACTTCGTCAACCCCCGTGCCGAAGTTCGCGACGTCGGCGACATTCCAAAAGCGAAGAGTACCAGTGTTCTGCACCCCGGCGTCAGCTTTGCCGACGAAGTGCTCGGAAAAGATGATGGGAAAAAGAGACATCATTCGAGGAAAGGCACAGCGCCTCTACCGCTGCACTCACCACTCGTAAAGCATCACACCAAAGAGTCAAATGAAGAGTGGCTGCACCGCGCTGGCTTGGCAATCGCTGGCGAGACGAGGGATAGCAAGGGACAGGGTTGGCTTGTGAGACGAGAGAGCTCCACCAGTCTAGTCGGACAAGGTGACGAGTACGAGAAACGCTCTTCACATGAGGATAGGCCCATGGCTCTTCTCTCTGGCGAACATGTCGGTGACGCGGACTTTCCTGTGTTCTTCTCCCCGCGCATGTCCAGGGTGGGGAGTCGTATCCCCAGTCGCGTAGGCTCCCGCGTACCCAGCGCACGGCAGAGTCGACGGGGCAGCAGAGTAGGTAGTCGGGCCGATCTCATGATGTCTGCCGGATCGAAACCGCAGTCAGGAAGAGCCAGCTTCGAGATCTCTGAGCTAGACGAACGCTTCATTGAGCCTGACTTCATCGAAGCAGACGAAGAGAGCGACGGTGATGAGGAAGAAGTCGCTCGCTTGGCGCGCGAACGCGGGTTCGGGCTTGGAGGTTGGATGGATCGTCTTATTGGATGGACACTGTTCTCTGTTGACGAGGATAGAGAAGCGTCTGAT